ATTCACTTGTCTTAAATTCAGATTGAGCCATCTTATACAGGCCCATGTCATCTTGTGTTCTTGCACAGAATCTAATACAGTGGGGCCTGGTTACTAATTGGAGCTTTTGGGTGCTCACACAATAGAGATAATTAGTAATAAATGTGCAGCTCTAACAGCAAGTGATGGTCACAGTAAGCACTACGGTGTATGACAGTTAAGCTCCTATGTGCTCTTTTGGTTCCTGTAGAATATATTTGAGAAATCATTGTTCTTCTTTCTTTGCCTGTGTGGTGTTGCCCAGAGGTGCTCTTTCTATTCTAGTGTAAGTGCTAGTATCTTAATTAACTTCTTAAAATGTAACTGGTCAGGTCACAACCAAATAATATTCCCAAATGGGCTGATCAGCAGTCTACAAGGTTTCTCCAGGAAAGCTAGAAGTGTCATCTAGAGAAAACTTAAAGCCTGACATTAAGCACATGAACTTGTGCTTTTAGAGTTAAATAAACAAAGAAACCCAGCCAACCAACCAAAACCTCTCATTAATTAATAAATTCAGTTTCCCCAAAACCTTGGCATGGCTACATATCTATTTTGCTTCTTACGCATTTCCAGTTATCAGTTGCTCATAGAACACTTGTGTTTGCCAGTCCATCCTTGACCAATTTTCTTATGTTTTATGTTGGTGGTAATAAGAATTTTGAAAAATTCTATTGTTTGGACCACATTCAGAGTTTTCTTTTCAATAATTTATTAAATTGGGGGGTGGAGGTTTTTTCAGGTTTTCAGCTTGAAAAAAACAAACAACTGAAATGCTTTCAAAGAGGCATATCTAGGTCAGTCTGTCTTTCTTGTGCAGAGAAGTTTTTCAGCTTAGAAGTTAGGCAAATATATTATCAGGAGACCCATGATAAATGGGTCTATATTAAGGTAATTTATTATCCTGAGACCAAATTTTTTTTTTTTTTTTTTTTGTCTTCACAGGCTGTTTCTCAGTAGCTCTCTGAAGTAAGATATAGTTGTGATACTTAGTGATCTTTGGAAATCTTTTGCATGTAGTCATAGGACTTACCATGTTCCTGTCATTAAAAAGAGAAAGAGAAAAATAATGGGAGAAGAGAGAGAATCATAGAACTGCTTAAGTTTGCAAACAACTTTTAAGTTCATCAAGTCTAACCATTAACCTAACGCACCAGCCCAACACTAAACCGTGTCCCTAAGCACCACATCGACATGTCTTTTAAATACTTCCAGGGATGGCAACTCCACCACTTCCCTGGGCAGCCTGTCCCACTGCTTAACAACCCTTTCCATGAAGAAATTTTTCTTAATATCCAACCTAAATTTCCCCTGGCACAACTTGAGGCTGTTTCCCCTTGTCCTAGTGCTTGTTGCTTGGGAGAACTGACTGACTCCCACGTTGCTACACCCTCTTTTCAGGCAGTTGTAGAGAGTGAGAAGGTCTCCCCTCAGCCTCCTTTTTGCCAGCCTAAACAATACCAATTCCCTCAGCTGCTTCTTCTGAGACTTCTTCACCAGCTTCACTGCCCTTCTTTGGACACGCTGCATGTCCTTCTTGCAGTGAGTGGCACAAAACTGAACACTGTATTTGAGGTGCAGCCCCACCAGTGCTGAATACAGGGGGATGATCACTGCCTTAGTGCTGCTGGCCACTAATACAAGCCAGTGGCCTTCCTGGCCACCTGGCCACACTTCTGGCTTACATTCAGACAGCTGTCAACCAACACCCCAGATCCTTTTCCACTAGGTAACTTTCCAGCCACTGTTACCTAAGCCTGTAGTGTTGCATGGGGTTGTTGTGACCCAAGTGCAGGACCCAACACTTGGCCTTGTTGAACCTCATACATCTGGCCTCAGCCCATTGATGCAGCATGTCCTGGCCCTTCTGTAGAGCCTCCTATCTTCAAGCAGATCAACACTCCTGTCTAACTTGTTATCATCTGTAAACTTACTTGATCTCCTTGTCCAAGTCATTGATAAAGACATTAAAGAGAACAGGCCCCAGTACTGAGCCCTGTGGAACACTGCTTCTGACAGACCTCCAGCTGGATTTAACTCCATTCAGCACCACTCTCTGGGCCTGGTCATCCAGCCAGTTTTTTACCCAGTGAAGAGTACGCTCATCCAAGCTGGGAGCAGCCAGTAACACTAGTGCTGTTTGAAAGAGAAAAAATTACACCAGTAGTGGTTGGTAGGCTATCCAGCTACCAACTCAACTAAATTTCCATAGATTTTGTTTTGAGTGAAAAATGTAGAGAAAATAGTGATGTATTATTCTTAGTTTTGATGTTCACGTAATAGATTTTAATGAAATTGTATGTACGTTGTCTGAACCTGTAGATGTTTTAGGCAGCTGAAAACAAAGCTTTTTACTGTTTGTGTTTTTTTCTCAAAGGAGTTCTAAGATCTCTTATTCTGCTACATTTGTAATGATGATGCAAATATGATTAAGTAATAGATCTCTTCAGGATGCTGTTTTGTCATTGAAGCAAGTTACAATGAAAGCATGTACTTAAAACAGCAATGAATATGGGAGCACAGATATGGCCAATTAAGCATATTTATAAACTGAAATGTAAAGGTATATGCATTTTTTTTTTCCTGTTACTTACTTACCTCGTCTTCCCTCCCCATGGTTTCTTTAATTTTGGAAAAAAAATCCCCACAACATGCTCTTTATAATTAGTTTGAAATAAAGTTACATGGTTTGATAAATGAATGTTGTCTGTAGATTGTTGTTCTTTCTGAAGAACTGGTGCTAGGTTATCTAGTTGAATGTACATTGAATTACATTTTTCATGAAGCATCTTATGTGCAGCTTTCAGCTCTCCTAATGTCATGTTGATTTGATCTACTCCCCCTGGTGCTGACTTGAAGTTTTCTGCTCATACACTTTTTTTTTTTAATCCGATATGTGGCATCTTGAAGTACTCATCTTGTGTGAGGAAAAATAATAGTTGAGCTGATGTATAGTGAATTATGGTTAGAGTCATCATACTGCAAGAAAGTATTTATCTACTTATCTAAACTGCGTAGGTGGTATTGTGCTCCTGCAGTCAGGTCTACTGGTTTCCAGATGCAGGATCTCTGCAGACAACAGGACAGCCGCCTGTGAGACTGTTTGCTTGTGGGATTTCTAGAGGATTCTTGCAGCTTTGTTTTGACAGCAGAGATCCTATGGGCATTACTTGTAAGAGCAATGGTGAATTTTAGAAAAGCTTACTGATAGCTTGTTACTTCTTCGTAAGCAGAACTTTCCAAGGAGAAATGGATGAAGAAAAGTACTGTTTTCTTCCCTCTATGTATATCCAAAGACTTTTAAAAGTATGAAACATTCTTTGCCAAATGGGTCTTCAAAATATGCTTGCTTTCTTTCAAAATATTCTGATATGGATGGTGAAACTATAATCTTTTAATCAAAGCGTTTCCCTATTCTGTGCTGTCAAAGAAATTTTACTGCAATCCAAATGAATTGGTTGCTCTGGGAAGATTTGTGTCCCTCCCTTATTTATATCAGAGACTATTTGAGAACATTAAATGCTGTGAACTTTTAGAACCATTGACCTACCTTTTATAGTTGGTAATGCTCCTATTTTCTTCTTTTTTTTTGTGTTTGTGTATTTTGGGCTTATCTCAGTAGAACTTCTGTAATAACTTGTGCTTTTAGCACATTTATGGAAGGATCAGTGAAAGAAAGCTCAGCTTAAGGTCACACCCTCAATTATCATGTAGACGACTAACACATTTTAAGTTCAGTTGCAGCAGCTCAGGTGGTAATTAGTAAAACTGACATAACTCTGGTTCAGCTGAGACATCGAACTTGGGACTTACTTTTCAGTCTTCATGTCAGCTTTGTCTTTTGTATGCTTACTCTTTGCATTGCTGTTAAGCTGTGTTGTTCCCTGTTCGATCATTTCATCACACCTTGACAATTACATTGCTCTTTTCACTGATCTTATGGAGTGCAATCACATCTTGGTTCCATAACAGCACTTTCCTGGTCTTTCTTACTTTGCTAGCCTTCTGAGCCCCACGGCTGTTTATTTTCTCCAGTCAGAAGGTGTGCTCTTCTGGGCTGCTGCACAAGTTTGAGAAAACCTTTGTGCAGCTGCCTTGTCATTCGTACTGAAACTCTAATTTAATATCCTGGTTGCAAAAATCAAAGAAAACTTTTACAAATCTAACTCGGGTGTGCCACAGCGATCATGCGTCTCTTGTGGTTTTTGACTTTTCACTCTTTTTTTCTTTCTGTTTATTCACTGTTTTTCCTTGTATGCAATGTTAGTTCTGTAGAGCACTTTTCTGTAGGATTAGCACAGAGACATCTAAATTAACAACTTGGACTCCCAAGTACTGTCATAATGTAAAGAAAGTTTTAGAAAATTCAGATGTCTGCAGCTGAAACAAGCTCACAAGTTGCTGGTAGTAGTGTAGCAAGCTTTGGGGTTTTCTTTCTATGTATTGTGGGAGGAATGTACCCTGTAAAAATTTGTCACTGTTTTAATGAAAAGTGGTTCAATAGTCTGATGGGATTTTGCAATACGGCAGTATTAGATAATCAGCAATGGACAGGAATGGTGTTTCTTTTCAATGAAACACTGCAGATTTATGCCAGGCAGAGTTCTCGTCCACTTAATAAAGGAAAAACTGGAGAGAAAGGTCTTTTAGCTGAATCTAACTGGAGTAGCCTTAGTTATTTCTTACAGCATTAAAACTGCTGCCGTGTTTGATAGATTTGCTGGCATTGTTTTATCTGGACACAACAAAGTTATTTTATATATATATTCTGAACTTTTATTTTTGAAATATTTTCTTCATGATAATTGAATTTAACTGAATTATCTGCTTTTTTTAACTGCAAAAAGTTCCTTTTAAAATGCTTTTTTAGAACATCTGTCATAATTGTTGTGGGGTTTTTTTTTAGCACTTAATATAAATTAAAATAGTAGATATTTAGAAGATATGCCCTGAAGTATAATATCTTAACATTGCCTTTGCAGGTACATGATGCTGATTGATGGCAAGAATGAAGTTTATATGATTGATAGAGACAATTCTATTTTTCATGTATCTAATCTGGAATTTCCATTTCGTAAAGATCTTCGCACACATCTAACAAATACTCTTCTGGATGGGGTAAGTAGCATACTCTCTAATTACTGTAACAATTTCATCAGTACCATTAGCTTTTGTTCAGAAGGAAGTCCCAAGTTTTTAGACCTGAATCAGTGAATCATGGGATTTCAGGAGTAATATAGTTTTAGTTACAGTCTGAATGTGGGATTCAACCTCTAAGTAGTTTCTTATCTACAGACTAGCAATGATGGCTGCTCTGGGGGGAGCTGTTTGTCTTTGAAATAGATCACAGTATTGAAATGACATTCTCTGAATATGAGAAAAGGCTTGAAGAGAATCTAAAGAAATTAGTGTGGAACCTTATCTCTTGTTATAGCTTTATATTTTGAAACAGTAAACATGGTCAATTTGATCCAGTGAATGTAAATATTTATAAAACTTGATAAAATTTTCATTTTCGTTTGATAGACCTTTATAATTTATCTTTGCCTCCATCTCTTTTAATTTCAGCTGATCTGAATTATTGACTGATTTAGAAATGTCTTAGTTGTATTTGACTAAAACATTTCTAAGTTGTCATGCTAATTTAAATAATGTAAACTTGCTTATGAACTTTAAAACAAGCTGTAAAACATGTATTTGTTGTTTGAAGGCTGGCCTCTAGTATTCTTAGTAATCTTTTCAGAACAGCAGCCACAAGAAGAGATTATTCCTTTCCTGACTTTCCTATTTTACATGAGCAAAAGAACTTTGTTTGCTCTTAACTAAATATCTCTCAATTCATTAGTAAAACATGATAAATCAAAGGCTGCTTTTAGCAGCACTTACTGTAACAAGTGATTTAGCAAAACAATGACTTAATTGCAGGTTCGAGAATTAAAAGACTCACGCTAACTTACTACAAGGTATCTCCAACCAAAGCGTGTATATATGCATACACACAAAGCATACAGACACAGAAGTGCTTGCCAGTGAAATATGTAGATGTCCACAGTCAGAAAAGCAAATGCATAAAATCAAACACACATGTGGGTAGAAGAGACTAGCCTATAGTCAAAATTTCCCCCTTCAAGTTTAGAGTAAACACTCAAAATGCATTGTCATTTCTGAATGAGTTGGGAGTCGGGTCTTGAGGAGCTGGTCTTGCCCAGGCCTTGCATTGACTTCATCAGCAGGTGGCCCTGAGCGGCATCCCAGCTCAGGAGAGGTGCTGGATGCAGCCTACTGTGATGCAGGAGACCTCCAAGGGTCCCATTTGGGGTTGCTATTTATGGGGTCTGAGATAATTGCCTGTTGCCAGGTACTTTTCCATTGGCCTAACTCAAGTGTTGCAGTATTTTGATGTGTGCGTGTGTGCGTGTCCAGAGCTTGCTGCACCATGGGCTCCTCGTATTTCCCCTCTGGGCCACAACCCAGGGACATGTGTACCAGGTCATTAGAGGGTCAATTGATGATCCAGAATGACAAGGAGGGGAGTAGGAACCAGGTGGGGTGAAGGAGCACCTCAACACTCTGGCCACTGCAGGAGGCGATAGTTGTAATTGTGCCTAGAGAACAGGAGAGGCAGGAGCCAGGAGCGCTCAGGGGGTGCCTTAATGCTTTTGGGACACTGCCTTTGCAACCTGCACTTCTCCAGTGGATTGCTGTGTGGCTCAGGGAGGGGAGTCTCACCCTGTACTGCACCACCCCATGAGTCAGGGCCTATCATGCTACCACGGGGAGACCATATTGCCATTGTTAACTTCCTTTCCTTTTCAGGCCTTTGTTGTCAGTATTCTTGAAATGCCACTTCTGTGAATGATCTGTCTTGCTGGACACACATTTACACGTGAAGCGTGTATAAATCAAATCTATGAGGATAATTATTGCAAGGAACAATTTACTGCCTCAGGGACAGAGGATCAGTTAGTGGAATATTTTCCACCACCTCTACTTCACTGAAAAACAGAGCATAATGCAAGAAATGCCAGACTGTCAGCTCAAAAGTGGTTGCACAAGCTGTCAGGTCTGGTAGAAGCCTCTTCAGCCAGGCAGCTTACTAATGATGTACATAATAGTATTCTTAACGATGTACATTAGGTTCCGTACTGTTGAAATAAAAAGCCTGAGACTTTTTTTTCCCCTGCTCTTTCTAAGGCTCTTGAGAAAGTAATAGCGTGCAAGTGTCCATATGGTGCACTGGTAGGTGTTCTTCAGGGGAATTGCTGTTTGGCTTGGTGTTTTTTTTTTTTTTTTTTTTTTTTAGCGTTTCAAAACAGATAATTTAAGAAGGGTGGCTATTATGTACACGGTGGAAGACAGGGATGCACATATTTTGAGATATGTGCAGAAATGTGACTGTGGAGCTTGGGAAAGAGGCTCTGATCTGCTATATTCTGTTTTCCAGATTGAAAGTTTAAGTCTCTTAAGGCTAAATTAAGTACTCTCAGTTACCCAAGACAAGAACTGTAACTTCACTTAATTTGTTGTTTTGTAAAAGCTTGACTGTTAATAGTGCATTTCAGTATTTCACTTTACTGGCGTAAAAGTAGTCTTACTGTGATTCTCCCCCCCACCATTTAAATGAACAGTTATTGGTTGGATGAAGTACTTAAGATAAAACTAAAACATTAAAATGGAAAAATGCTTTCATAGTACAGATTTCTGAATTTATTTAAGTATGCTCAGTTAAAAAAACCAAACAAACCCCAAAAACCAAACCAAAACAAGAAAACCTGTTGATGAAATATTTTCAGCTTGAAGTTCCTTTCAACAGGTTTGAGAGTAAAATTTGCCTCTTATTTGAAGCATTAGAACAGATTAACTTTGTAATTTGATATTTGTTTAATGTGGATGCCAAATGATAATCTCCATGACTGTTCCTTTACTTTGGATATATGCATGATTTATTTCTTTTTAATTTATGGGAAGAAAAAATTGGCTTTTTTTGTGTTAGCATATTTTGCTAATTAGTGCTGAAGGGCTGTTGAAGTTAATTCTTTAATTATGGGTTGAAGTTGTTCATACTTACTGCCCTTGAAGTAGCTTTCTGGCTTTCAGAGCATGGAAGTATAGAATGAGGTGGCCCAGTTTGCATTGCTTTAGAATAATCTTGAAAAGTATGAGAAAGGAGGAAAGATAAATCAGAGATATGAGTGCCATGCAGCAAAACAACTTCTTGTGTTAAGAATACAAAAGATTAGGTTATTTCCTCGAACTTTCTTTAGAATGACAGTGTATATAAAACTTTCATAAAGGCAATTTCCATGAATTCAGTGATCTGTTAACTTGCTTTAAGCCTTCTGGTGTAAGCTTTTCATGTGGTTGTCTTTGAGAATTTCTAATGAATTTATGGTTAACTTCAGGCTGAAATTACTTGCAAACAGTTCTTGCTATGATGAGTTACATCTTGGGTGATGATAGATCTGCAACACTATGTGCTCATCTCCAGCTCTTCAGTTGTGATTGTTCTCCTGGCATGGAAAAAAGTTTTCTGCAAAGCTTATTAAAGCTAATTTGAATATTACCTATAGGTGACTAGTATAATATCAAGTATTCCTTTAGAAGCCAAGTGTTTGCATCCATACTGCTATCTGAGGGAATACATAGATTTTTTTTCAAATGTTTTGGGCAAGGACACTAATGAGTTATTTTCAGGAACTTTCTTGGCATTCTGTTTAGCTTCAGAACAGTTCAGTAGAAAATGCAGAGGCATTCTTAGATGTGAAATATTTTTTTACAATTTTAATAAATTTTCTATATGTTTTATTTAATTTATATAAAATAATATTCACACTTGAAGAATTAGGAGGGCCAAGGGCTTCAAAAGTGGAGAGTGAGATTGAGATTGATTTATGTATCAGTTCAGATCTCACTTATTTGTAAGCTCTCTCAGAAATGGCATAATTTGCAACTTTTGAGTTTGCAAAGGCTGATACTTTGTGCAAGATGGATTTTTCTAATATGCTGTTAAGACCTAGCACTGGGAGAAAAGGAGATTCATACCAGCAGTTTTGCCAGATTATGTCAAAGAAACTGGCCATTGTACCTTGGTCTGCAAGCCTGAAGGTTAGGCTAACGCCTAAACTAGCAGCTAATAGACAAGTAGTAAATATCATACTTGCTAGCAGTGGTAATTTTAAAACACATAGTAGTTCCTGTAAAACTGTGTGGGGTCTATAAAAGGAAACATATGGATGCAGGGGCATCTTTGGGATGGGATCAGTTGTGAAATACTGCATTTTCCCAACACTCTCTGGACTTGCCTTTGAGGTCTGTTCCCCGAGTATTTTTCAGTTCTCATAATTTCAAGGAAGATTCTAAAATTGGACTGTTAAATAATGATGTGTTAGGGTATTTCTGATCTGAATAATTCTTATGATCACTCTTACAGATTTTGCCTTGTGACAGTTGTATTGGCATAACTAATGGAGCAGTGAATGTTGTTGTCATGATGGAGATGAGCAGCGCAGGAATTTGTCATCTCTTCTTCTAAGGCATATTGTGCTGTTGTTTATTTGCTCCAGTAGCTGGGATTTCAGTCAGAATGCCGAAAGAGAACAAGAGGCAGGGGAGGAAGAAAAGAAGGGAGGATCTGGGGAAAGAGGCTAGTTTGACCAGTGATAAAATCCCAAAGATTTATACATGTCTGAAGTAGAAAAAAAAATTAATTATAAAATTTATTCTGTGCTATAAGTGAACATTCCAGAGAAGGTTTAAAAATAGTTTTTGGTCCTCTTGGCTGTATTAAACTCCATATCTATGTTGTGGATCCATGTATTAAAATCCATATCCAAATCTGAACATCCAGCAATTCAGATTTTGAAAAATAGATATAAAATCTTGTAATACCAGGCACTGAAATGTTTTCAGGGTTTTGCATGCAAATGCTAGCTTTGCATCAAAGCTGAGGCTCTGAATACCCATGCTGGGGAAGTGAGTCCTTAAACCTTAGATGTGTGTTCAATTACCTGTGTTAAAAAAATTTGTTTCCCCTCTTAATGTGATGGCAACTTTAAAGAAATATGGCAGCATTCTTTTGTTTCAGTTTTACTTTGTTATTCATTTCACCTGATTACTATCAGGAATTCTGGCTAGGTTTTTCCCCTTTTTTTTCTGTATTATATCTTAACACAGTCTTCCAAGTCTGAACATCTTGCTTTTTTTCTCTCTTAGGGTGTACCTACTCCATCTGTTCTTGCAGTTAGTTATAAAATTTATTGCCAAAGAAGGCATCGCAGCATTGCATCTGCTGTCCCTTTCATAGCTCACCGGTGTCATACCTAAGTATTGAAAATTAACAGAATGGCATTTTGTTACATCACTTCCATGGAGGCTTTTTGCAAATATTATTTGACAGTACCTGTGAATATTATTTTTAGAGTTAAGAATATGATACTGTCACATTACAAAGAATTATTTTTCACTCATCGAATTAATGAATGGTTTTAATTTTTTTTTTTTTTCTAAGCTTTGGAAATATGTATGAGGTCACTTCAGGTAGTCATTCACGACCCCTGTGTATGCTGCATTTGGCTGTGTGACAGGCTGTGAAAGCCCAATCTTCATCTCAGTATTCTCTTCAGAGAGGATGAGATTCTAAAATATTAAGTGGGCAGCTTATAGTTCCCAGTGGTTTTTGAGAACAGGGTCGCGTCTTCTAATATAGTTTTAAATGCTTCAATCCTTGTGCTTGCTTAAAAAAAAAAAAAAAAAAAAAAAAAAAAAAGAAAATCTCTGTTTCTACAACTCCTTGTTTATTTTTCAAAGCCAAATGTGCAAATGTGATTAAATACTAGGTACAATTCAAGAAGCTTGATATGTGTACATACTGAAAATCTCATTACATTGAGACCTTTTTAGTTAGGTTTACTGTGTTGAAGTTATGGATTGTAGAAGTTAAAAGGTTGTCAAACATAAAAATGCTACTGACCTAGCAAGAAACAAACTAAACAAAATTAATTTGAGTTGATGTAAAGTTCTCTTTCGGAATAGTAGTTGAGCCTCACAATTTTGTTTTCATCATGTTACAGTAAAATATTTTCACCTTTTCCAACTGTTTTATCTCATATGTGTGAATTTGGAATTTTAACTTGATATTGGCAGCAAAAAATTGTTAGCTGATACAACTAACTTATTAGCCAAGAATTGAGCAGGGGGAACGGGGCACAGGGAGAGGATTAATTGCATTTAGATGACTTTATTTTGAGGTTGTCTCTGAAAAGATGTAGCAGTTGATTGATTGTTACCATTTTCAATCATGACTACTTTATATGAAACAAAATATTCTTCATTAGTTTATAATAAACTGTGTCTATTTCATATCATAGGAAGCCTGAGTTACAGATGTGAGCATCAGCATGTAAGATGTATATATTTTTGTGTGTACCCTTAAGTTCAGGAAATACTTTTGTGTTTGAATGTAAATTGGTCTTTCTTCTAGCTGGTGTGTTTTCAAGATGGTTTACCAGTGCATGTATTGAATGTTAACAGATCTTGTGTGATACAGATAGTATCTGTGTTATTTCCATTTGAAGGAACCATACTGTTTAGTCACAATGCAACATTCAAGCAAATTGCACTTGTCACTGTTGCCTAGAACTGCTCGTTAATTTGAAAAGATCCAACCTGAGCATAGAAAATGGATTTTAATGCCTGTTCTTTACTTCCTTGCTGTTGTACTTATTCTAGGCAGGATGTCCAGGAGTGCTTGGTTGACTTAGGATCACAGTCCTTACTGAGGTTTCAGAACCTCGTTATTCAGTCAGGAAAGGTAGTGATTTTGAAAGCTGTGGGGAAACTAACATTCAAATGTTGCAGATCAGAATGTGGAGCCTTGGTACAGCTTCCTGGCTTCTTACGGAATGCGTTGTGAGAGACATTTAAGACAGTAATGATATTTTTATACTCTTGACCTATTGTAAAAATCTTTTTCATAATAAAGATGTGGCCACTGTTTGATTGTATTATGCTTACAGGTATGTGCACAAAGTATAAGTGTACTGACATTCTTCTGTATTCATGAGATGAGTGTAAATGTCCTCTCTTTTCTTTTAAGGAAATGATCATCGACAAAGTTAATGGACAGGTTGTCCCTCGGTACTTGATATATGACATTATTAAGTTTAATGTAAGTACTTTCAGTTTTATTGCTTTTATCATTAGTTATTGATTCTCATTCCTATTTTAACCTTACTTGTGCAAGTAAGAGCTTCAGAGTATATTAAAACACTAAAAGTGCTTGGGTATTTTACAACTCAGTAACAAGCAATGCATCAGAATTAAAATTGAAACCAGCCTTATAATAGACGTTGATTTATTTCTACCTGCTCAAGAAAAATAGTGGTTTGAAACACTGTTGGAAAATTTCCCATTTCTAGAGCATGTTCGAACTGTTCAGGCAGTGAAATTGGGAGGGGATGGGGAAGTTAGCCTGTAAGTGGTATATTTTTTACCAGAGCATCGCAGTTCTTCTTTGGTTACTCTATCACCTCTTTCTCAAATTTCTCTTTGAACCCAGGCAACTGGTCCTCTGTTAAGTCCTCAACAGCAAGCTCTCTTGTTTACACTGGCTGTAAGGCAAATATCTAGTAAAGAAATTGGAAGGTTAAAAAGGAGAAGCCTTTGCTGACAGCTGGGAATAGAGTCTTTGTGGTCACAAGAAATATCTGTTAAACAGTACAGAAAATTAACAACTTTTTTCTTTAAAGCAGCTTTCAAATATGATAAAAGGTGTGAAAATCATCACCAAAGGGGTCCTGTATGTTACCTTTTATAGATAAAAAAATTAAAAAAATGTCTCCTCATTTTCCCCCAAAAGTCATGATATATGTAGATTTTGAAGGTAGTCAGGGGTCTTATGGTAGTGTCTCCTACTGAAGCTTATTTGAAAAACTAACCTTGACAATAAGTTCCACTTGTTAGCCCTTATTATGAAATAAATTTTCTTGTGGTTTCTTTGTTGTGTCAAAGGAAGAGAAAATGCCCTTCAGAAAGCATCAATTTAACCATATATATTTCTTTAAAACAACATTTAAAATAGTTTTGTGAAAACAAAGTGTGTACTGGTTTTGGTTGGGATAGAGTTAATTTTCTTCATAGTAGCTTCTGTGGTAATGCATTTTGGATTTTTCAGGAGAAGTGTGCTGGTGACACAGGGATGTTTTCATTATTGCTGAGCAGTGCTTACACAGTGTACCAACCCCCTTCCTGCTTCTCACCCCACCCAACCAGCAAGTAGGCTGGAGGGACACAAGGAGCTGGGAGGGGACATAGCCAGGACAGCTGACCCAAACTGACTGAAGGGTATTCCATACCATATGATGTCATGCTCAGCAATAGGAATGGGGGAAAGCAGGAGGAAGGGGGAGGTGTTTGGAGATAGAGCATTTTGTCTTCCCAAGTAGCCATGATGCAGCCCTGTGTTCCTGGAGATGTCTGAACCTTTCTGCCTGCCAATGGGAGGGGGTGAATGAGTCCCTTGGTTTGTTTTGCTTTTCTGTGCAGCTTTTGCTTTACCTATTGAGCTGTCTTTATCTCAGTCTATGAGTTTTCTCACTTTTAGCCTTTCAATTCTCTCCCCTATCCCATTTTGGAGGGAATGAGTGATCGGCTGCATGAGGCTTAGCTAGCTACTATAGTTAAATCAGAGTAACATGTTAAACTTAGTTACTAGATCTGTGACAGACCTTTGAAAAGCACTCTAGTAACTGTTTCTGGAAAAACAAAATTATGGTTTCAGTGCTACTAACAGGAGAAGTGTTGTTAGTAAACCTCAGTGCATTTGAGACTTCCTGAACTACAGTCTTCCAGACTTGAGTAAGATACTACCCAGCTTCGGTAGACCACTCAGTCTAAGTGGACAGTGTAGACATGGCACTAGTAACCAAAAATGACTTTCTTGGAAAATGGTATTCTTGGAAGCGTAGTCGTACTCTGGCTTAGGACAGCTGCCTTTAGTAGTTTCTGGGGAATACATTAGGTTAGGAATAATACTCATCACAAGTAACGAGTGATAGAACAAGAGGGAATGGCCTCAAGCAGCTCCAGGGGAGGTTTAGACTGGACATTAGGAAGAACTTTTTCACTGAAAGGGTTGTTGGGCATGGGAACATGTTGCCCAGGGACATGGTTCAGTCACCATCTCTGGATGTGTTTAAAAGCTGTGTAGATGTGGTGCTTGGGGATGTTGCTTCGAGGTGGATCTGGTAGAGTAGGGTTAATGGTTGGACTTGATGATCTTAGAGGTCTTTTCCAAACAAAGTGATTCTATGATTCTAATAGAGGCTTTTTGTTAACTAATTTTAATTCTGCCTCTTGATGACTTTTTCTGACGTAGATGTTAGCTTCCTGGATCCTTTCCTATGACTAGGACTTTCCAGTAAGCAAAAATTCCTTGTAGACTTCTGAAAAATATGATCTTCTATAACCACTCCTGGTTCTCATTTTCCTTTACATTTTCATACCTGTTCCTCAGCCCATGATTCTGTGTTTATCTTCATGTCTTTCCTTGTCTCTTCTCTCACCTTCTGTCTAACCTGCCATTCATTCCTGTTACTCTATCTTTGCAAAATAAAGGTAAGGTAAGAAGTGTACAATCTCCTTCATTCCTCAATTTTGGATACGTGTATACTGTCCCAGCAAAATAACAGTTTTCAAAAGTTGTAATTATTTTGGTGAAGCATTTTTGAGGTAGAAGGGGAGGAAACCCTAATTTGTAACAAAGTGTCCAGACTTAACATAAAGAATCCCACTTGATAAACACAAATAATCACAGAATTGTTGAGGTCTGGGAAAAGTCTGCTTTTGAGGAGGGCTGTAAATGTTTTAAAACTTATTTGTTTGGGGTTTTTGTTTGTTTTTTTAAATGGACTGGGAACGAGAGAGAGAAGTTAGTTAATACATAATACTGTTTTAATGTCAAGGACGAATTAAGTTAATGTTATCAGTATGGGTACAAGCAGGGCTTCAGCTGCAAGAAGTCATTAGCAATGGTCATGCTGCAAAGATTAGAAAGCACAGCGGTTTTTAGGTTAATTTTAGAAGCTTAATTACAAAAATGGGCACCTGAGGATGTTTGGCTTGGCAAGAAATGATCAAGCAGAATTTTGTCACAAGAGAGAGAAATTTATTAAAAAGTTGTAATTGTCAAGAAAGGGTAAGTTCCTTTTTAAGTTGTGTAAGCTAATTTTGTGTTCATTTACCTAGCAGAGCTTCAAATCAGAAAATTACACAAAGCATTAGTCCTATTTAAAAAGAAAACATCCCCCCTTCTGGAACAAACAACCCCCCACTCAAATACAAACCCCAAACCTAAATCAACCTGACAGACAGCTATATGAGGTGTTCTCAACTTCAAGGTAGTTCTGTCATCTGAAGGTGAATAGTGGGGTTACTGTACTCACTGTCTGTCAAAGAAGGGCAGTGAAGCTGGTGGAGGGTCTAGAGGACAAGTCTTACAAGGAGAGGCTGAGGGAACTGCATGAAGAAAAGGAGTCTGAGAGGAGACCTTCTTGCTCTTTACAACCACCTGAAAGGAGGTTGTAGTAAGGTGGGATTTGGTCTGTTCTCCCAGGTACCAAGTGATAAGACAAGAGGAAATGGCCTTAAGTTGTGCTGGGGAGATTTAGAATGAATATTAGGGAAAATTTCATAATGGAAAGTGTTGCTAAGCACTGGAACAGGTTGCCCAGAGAAGTGGGCATCCCGTGGATATCTACTTCCATCCTGGAGGTATTTAAAAGATAGTTGTGGTGCTTAGGGACATGGTTTAGTGGTGGACTTGGCATTGTTGGGTTAATGGTTGGACTCAATGATCATAAAGGTCTTTTCCAACCTAAATGATTTTGTGATTCTATGACTTCATTTCTTTTAATCACTGTTTCTGTGACATCCAGTTTCTAGCAGCTTGTGGTAATGCTTCCCATTGTGTTAGAAGAGATGCCTGTGTCAGGAAAAACAAATGATTCTTCAGGAGCTTAGTAAAAGATTTCTTGTTAATTTGTCATATTCTTCAGTCTGAATCATGATGTTGATAATTATTAATAGGAACTCAAAATATGACATTGCTGTCTCACTGCTTTCATTTCACATGCTGAAATCAAATTCACAGAAAAGAAGCTGTATGCTAGTGTGTCATGGTTTAATCCCGGCCAACACCTAAGCACCATGCAGCTGCTCACTCACACCTTCCCCCACAGTGGGGTATGGAGGGAAATCAGGACAAAAGAGACCCCAAACTCCTCTACTGATATAAGAACAACTTATAACTAAAATAAAATATAATGCCAACAGTCATAATTGTAATGAAAATGAATGTAGCAAAAAGAGAAATAAAACCCAAGATAAAACAAGTGATGCTCAGTGCAATTGCTCACCACCTGCTGACTGACTGATGTCCAGACTGTCTCTGAGCAGTTATATGATCCTCCTGGCCAACTTCTCCCAGTTTATATACTGGACGTGGCATTATATGGTATGGAATTCTCCTTTGGCTCAACTGGGTCAGCTGTCCTTGACGTATGTCCTCACACTTCCTGTGCACTCCCAGGTTTTGCTGGCAGGGCAGTGCGAGAAGCTGAAAAGTCCTTCACTTAGGATAAGCACTACTTAGGAACAACTGAAACAGCAGCTTAGAAACATTATTCTTATCCTAAATCCAAACCATAGTGCTGTGTTAGTTACTAGGAAGAAAATGAACTCTATCCCAGCCCAAACCCAAATATAGTGATATAAGCTCACCTTTCAGCCTCAGCTCTTTGAGGAAACACAGAGCATTCCTTGCTTTTTCTTTCCTGCTTCACATAGTTCTTTCTATGAAGAGCAACTCAAGATATATGAAATATCTCTCAAGCCCATTCTGAGAGGCAGCATACATGTATATTAACATAGGAAACTCTGTGAAGGGCAGGATCCTACTAAAAGTTTATCCTCTTTTTAAGTAGTTGAAATGGTCCCTGGCACAGTTTTGGCACTGATTTGCTACAGTGCTCTTGAGCAGTTCTCAAGAATAATTTCAAGTTGTAACATTGCTCAGGGACCATTCTTACCAGGTGTGCTGAGATGTCATCATCCTCTTTTAGTAATTGAAAGTATGAACATTGTCGGACAGCCTATGGCTTCAAGGGCAGA